GGCCCATCCGACCAGCCTGTCCAGGGCCCTCTGCAGGGCCATCCTGCCCTCCAGCAGATCAACACTCCCACCCAGTTTGGCATCATCTGCAAACTTACTGAGGGTGCACTCAATCCCCTCATCCAGATCGTTGATAAAGATATTAAACAAGGCTGGCCCCAAAACAGAGCCCTGGGGAACACCGCTCATGACCAGCTGCCAACTGGACTTAACTCCACTAACCACTACTCTCTGGGCTCGGCCACCCAGCTATTTTTTTATCCAGTGAAGAGTTCGCCCGTCCAAGCCATGAGCCACCAGCTTCCCAAGGAGAATGCTGTGGGCGACAGTGTCAAAGGCTTTACTGAAGTCCAGGTAGATGATGTCCACAGCCTTTCCTTCACCACCAGGCAGGTCACCAGGTCATAGAAGGAGATCAGGCTGGTCAAGCAGGACCTGCCTTTCATGAACCCAACCCACACCATATTGCACAATTCCAGGCAGACAAAAATTTAAAGTACGGGAAAGACTGGAAAGCCTTGTTTTTATGAGATTTGCATGTCAGAGGGCTTTCAGCTGAGAACTCAAGCTTTTTAGGTGCTTATCCAAATAAAAATTTCTATTGGTGACTGCTGTTGCAACATCATTTAGTGTGTTTCGAGTAATGTAGAACTGTCTCAGGCCATTTAGTTTGCACCATACTCATCATGTGATTCTTTGAAATTTTTCTTGTTTTTCTATGGTAGCCAGATGAACTGAAAAGAAGGCTTTGAGGATGTACATTTTGGTAATGGGTAGATGTGTATTTAAGGATGGAGTGTGAGAAAAATTCTGTATTTAATATGTTATCTCCAAAGCTCATTAGAAATTCATGGTTGTTCTATACAATACTGATGCCTGATTATTTACTTTAGCTATTTTATTTCTTCAGAACTTAGAATTCCTTTCATTTGCTCCTCTTTCTTCCTAGTAAAAAGGCCTTTCTTAAGGCTGGAGCTGCTTTTTCATATTTATTTTTATAGGTGACCAGCATTACAGTTATGGAAATAATTTTCTAATATATAGTTGGGTGAAAAAGAGTAATAAGTGAATTAGAAGTGAAAAAGCAGTAGTATTTTCCATAAATGTCTAAGTATCATTCATAGAGTATTTGTATTATTCCTTCCACTTTGCATTTTCTTGTTCTATAGGTAAGAAAATGTGAGTGAATACATAGTTAATTAGTAAGCGCACAGAAATAAGTTACAAAGCAGCACAAGGGAGGTAGGTGATTGACAGGATTGCAGAAAAAAGCTTGTTCTTCATGTGGAAACCTCAAGGGGAAAAAAAAAAACCTGTTACCATAGAGTGTTCGGCTAATACAGATACTTTGTAAGATCAAATTGTGTTCAGCTAAGCATCCAAACCTGTGGTCAGTTATATAAATTACTGATATGGATTCTACTGTTTTTCACTGCAAATTTGAAAACAGGTGGAAAAGATGTCATTAAGAATATATTTTTTCTTTTAGTAAATTTACTTTTCTAAAAGAAAGCTTTATTAAAAAAAGGGATCATCAATAATTCAAATGGTAAAAGAGCATTTCTAAAGACAAGTTCTGTCAGCGTTAATTTCTTACTCTACAGGAGTATTCAGCTGTATAAACAGAGTCCAGTCAGTCTTCACTTGGACTGTTTCTTTTCAGATGTAGCTAAAATAGTTTGAAAATAAATAATAGTTCCTTTTTCTAGTTTTTTTGTCTTCACTTTTGTAGTTGCATTCATTCTCTACTAGTCTTTAGAAACCTGTTCTTTTTGTCTCCTCCTTTTTGCAACCCTTTGAGTGGATGCTATTATGTCAATGAGGAAGTGGTAGGTATGGGAAAGCGAGGTTTCTACTGCTCAGGAGATACGATTTTCTTTTTTCCAGGCACAGCTCCTTGAGAAAATACTTCGTGTCCTCCTCCTTTGAAAAATTAAAACCTGTATTTTGAGTAGTGCAGATTGCTGTAAGGGCTTCTTCAATTTCTCTTTATATCTTTGTCAGCCATTCAGCAGTTCTGTGGGTGCTATAGTAAAGAAACCAAAATGCGCACAGATTCCACAGCAGTTTGAATACACTTTCTGTCAGTGAAACACACTCCTATATCTTGCTTACTGATGACATCCTTAAGCACTGCATGTTGGATTTTGTTTAAAGCTGAAGTAAACGGCACCATGATATGGGTTAAAGTTACTTTGGGCTTATTTGAGGAAACTGCAGTATTCCAATAACTGGAATTTTTCCAGACTTTTGCTCCTTGAGAGATGCTTAGGTGAAATGGTAAGCTGAAAGTTTGTGATGGAAATTTCCATCACAACAACTGCTGTAATTACTCATGTTCTTCTATAGGAGTGCCCAAAACTATACGGCTGGTCACCAGCTTCTTGAAAGACTGTTAGGTGAGGAAGTCCAAACTGTTTATTAAACCGAAACTAAAATAATTATTTTATAATCTTACGTCTGAATGAGGCATTTTGAACCTAGACTGTATTTGTCTTTTAGTCAGTAAAAGCAGCAGACCTGAATGTTGAATATGTAAGTACTGAGGATGCAAAACATTTCAAGACAGGTACATTGCTTTCTTTTCATTCTGTTTTTATTCTTCAATGCACAGGTGCCTTGACCCAAGCCATTCGCAATTTTGCAAAAAGCCTTGAAGGTTGGCTGTCAAATGCCATGAACAATATTCCACAGAGGATGATACAAACCAAGGTAGAATAAAATTGTTGCAGTATTACTCTTGCAGTGGCAAACCAAGTGGGCAGTAGCATCTAAAAGCAGTAGCATTTTAACTTTAATGCTAAATTTCATGTTTAGCATCAAACATCAAATAATGGGATAGGAAATAACTTAGTTTTATCAAAAAGTTGTAAGGAAGACATTATTTGATCTGCTACATAGATATAGTTCACATAGGAGGACTCATTAATACAGAATATTAAAATGAAGGTAATGACTCAATCTGTAGAATTAATCTACAGAGTACAATATTTAAAAATAAATTAATTTCTTCATAGGTTGCCGCTGTAAGTGCCTTTGCCCAGACTCTGCGAAGATACACATCTCTTAATCACCTGGCTCAAGCAGCTCGTGCTGTGCTTCAAAATACTTCTCAAATCAACCAGATGCTCAATGATCTTAACCGTGTTGATTTTGCCAATGTTCAGGTAAAATGTAGCTTTAAATAACAGGCTTTTTTTTTTAAAAAAAAAATGCTGTTTCCTCTGTGATTTTGAACTTTATTGTTAGCTGTCATTATTCTGTCAAGAAAGTGAAGTGAGAACATTTTGCTGATTCATATATGCAGTGATTCAGCCCAAACATGACAGCTTACACTTTAGGAAAGTAAGAGTTCAGAACCATTACCTATTTCCATTTACTGTCTTGAAGTGCACATATTCTTCAAACTTCTGTGCAAATGTAGATCAAATACATTCTTAGAATGGGTACCATGAATGATGTGTTAGTAATAGCATAAATGATATCTTAGAATTAGATCTCCGATAGTAGCATAGCTTCTGAATGTCTCTAAAAGCTATTAAACGCACAACATTGTTTTTAGTAGAAACTGTTTCATTATTTCAAAGACAATACCATTAGTATACTTTATCTAAATGCCTGTGCTTAAATTTACAAGATGTCCTGAGTGTTGATTAGATTAGTACAGATTAGAACAAGTTTCCAGTTAGCTATAGAAAGTAAATTTATATTTTCACTAAGCTTAATTTCTCCACATTTCTGCTCCTCTGAGGAAAAGTATTTTTTTCCTTTTGCCTAGCAAACTGAAATGTTCCAGATTACTGGTAGTTCTATGTTTGTCTCTTTTCCTTGTGAACGAGTGTTTTAATGTACTTGTTAATAATCTTAACAAAAGTCAGTCAAGAGTACTTGACCAAAGATACAGTATATTAAGTATTGTAATATGTTAACATGGATACAGAGTCCTTGAATGAGCTTGGCACATGATAGCTAAAGTGTAAGGACATAGATTGCAGTTAGTCTTCATTTTTGTCTCTTAGTTTCTGAATTGACCAGCTAGCCTTATTTAAACTTGATAACACTGACTAAATTGCTTATTATTGTATGCAGAGTGTGTTTCTCCATTTGTATGCAGTTTATGTTGTACTTTAAGTAATGTGTGATTTATTACTGCCTATAGTCAGCAAACAAAACAAGCCTTGTTTACATACAAAGCTTTCTTTTACATGGTGATATTACAGGCATTGTCTTTAAGCTTAACTTCTTCAGAACAAAAGGAACCTTGCACTTGATTTCTTGCTACTTGTTTTATTACTTTAACCCTACATTTAACTGTTCTTCCTCCTTGCCTTGCCTGTAGTCCCAGAAAAAACTGACAAGTCCTGAATATTTCAGTAGAAAAATGATGAATGAGGGAAGTAGAAGCCTTTTTTGAAAATGAATGGGGAAAACTACGATATACATCTGTCATTTCCATTGTTTGTTCTCATTTCTTTATTTGATGTCTGCTCTTATACATTGTCCTTTTCCCACCCATTTGCTTTCAACAAAATTATGGTAAACATAAAATCCCCTCCCCCCCCTGCTTCTTAGTTTGTCTAGTAAGTGAGTTTTGTCTTTTTCATCCATTGAATTGCTTCATGTTTGAGAAAGAATTACATTCTGTGCTTTGGCTTATGTATTGTTAATTCAAGAGTTGCCATGTGCTCTAACAGGAGCAGGCTTCCTGGGTGTGCCAGTGTGATGACAACATGGTTCAGAGACTAGAAACAGACTTCAAGATGACTCTTCAACAGCAGAGCACTCTGGAGCAGTGGGCTGCCTGGCTTGATAATGTAATGATGCAAGCATTGAAACCATATGAAGGAAGACCTAGCTTTCCCAAAGCAGCACGGCAATTTCTGTTAAAATGGTCTTTCTACAGGTAGTATTTAATAGACTTCTAAAGCATTCTAACTATTCTATTATTTGCTGAATTGTTCACTGTAGTAATGTTGACAGATGTAATATCAAACAGTGGCTCACTAAGTCATAAAAAACATGTGGGTGTTTTTTCAGAAAATTATTGTTAACCTTGAACTCAGGGCTGTTTCCAAATTGGCAGGGATTTAAATGATCCTTGTTTATTGTTTTAAAGGCTATGTACAAATGAATGTAGGTGGAATGTTGTCCTGAGTTAGAAACTTAATATGAAATTTTAGGGTTCAGTAACTACACAATTATTAAGCCACTATTTTTAATAATATTTATTAAAACACTGTGGTATCTCTCTTTATTAGATAAGGAAGACAAAACCTGTTTTTAATGTGCAAAAAGAACATTAAGACAAGCATTCCATGTTAGCTGCTTATTGAAACAGTTATCAGAGTAAACCTTGTTCTTTGAAAATGACTGTAGCATTGCTGAAGATATCAGAATTTGTCAATACAATATGTACACACAAGCCTATCTTCTTGTAATTTTAAATTTCAAAGTTTTAAAATTGTGGCAATTGAAACCTTTGTATTTAAGCATTAGTTTGTTTAAAATCAAATAGTTCTCTTACCATTTTAGTTGTTTATGTTTTCAACAAAGTTTTCTTTCAAGTTAGGTTGTACACATGCTCAAGTATTTGTAGTTATGCATATATCAAATCAAAGAAAAACTGAAACCAAAACAGTCTGGTTATTTCCTATGTAATGTGGTGTCCAACAATACCTTCAGAGAAAGGAGAGACGCAAATGATTGCCTTTTGTGGACATCTCTTTCCGAAGACACCATAAATCAGACATTTGTGGATAACGTTACTTTTGAGAATATTGGTTTTGAGGTGAAATGTCTACGTGGATAAGTGTTAAAATGACTATGAAATATAATACATAAATATATATATTTTTCTATTTTTGAATAGCTCAATGGTGATTCGAGATTTAACCTTGCGCAGTGCTGCTAGCTTTGGCTCTTTTCATCTGATCCGCTTGCTTTACGATGAATACATGTTTTACTTAGTAGAACATCGTGTTGCACAGGCAACAGGAGAGACACCTATTGCAGTTATGGGAGAGGTAAGATAATATGTAAGAGACTAGATTGATAGATTTAGTGATAAACTCGAGTATATGTCTGCAAATTTTGTAAACATTTATGTGGAGCTGTAGGATGTTCTGCAATATAACAATAGATTGGGGTACAAATGCATACAACAGTTTCAAACTTGTTTCATTTGTTGATTGTCAGAGTAATAAAATCACATTGAATTCTAATAGCTAATTGTTTCCAAATTAGGTTGCTCCTTTCCAAATCTGCATACAGATTCATGTGCACAGTTTGAAAAATGTTGATCAACATAAAACCTTCTTCCAGTTTTTGAGAACTCAATATTTCATGTGAAAATAAAAAAAGAACAGAGTAATTGGAAAGTGTTGCTTCCATGGATCTGTTTACATGTATTTGCACACATTTTGAATTCCCACACAAATGTTAACACAACTGAGTTGAGTACCCCCATTGACTTGAGAAGGATGGCTTGCATACAGAATTTTGGCTTGTATGGTACTGTTCACATACACATAATGAAACCAGCACAGACATACACAGAGGTTTGCAACACAGTTGATTTTCATATATGTCTATCAAAGATTATTGGTTTAAAAAACAGAACAAGAGTCTCAATTCATAACCAGTATTTTGAACTTATCTATGGCATCTGCAAGGCAAAGTTTATCTCATTCCTCTTTTTCCCACTAGTTCACCTAACTTTTTGAGTGAGACAGTGAGGAATGCAAGAATTGTCATCAAAGAATTGCACTTCAAAAGTGCTGGAAAATGGATATATTTGAAAATATGCTAGACAGTTAATGGGACAGATTTGTTACATTTTTACACTTGGGAGTCACTGTATCATATTCTATGTTACTGATAAACTGCAAGTCATTTTGTGAGTTGATCTGGCATCAGGTATCATTCTTCCCTCAAGAAATATTGATAGGCTCATTAAATACTATAAATAGATGCTGTACTTGCAAGAGAAATTGGAAATGTGTCAGCTTTGTCAAATGATTTTATATCATGTGGCATGACATGTTTCAGACAAACTAAATAACAATGTTTGTGCTTAGTGACCCATCAATAGTATATTTGCTTAATCTCTGCCTTATATTTGCAGTAAGGTACTACACAAGTACACACTTGCTACATTCTTGTCTTCTTAACAGACATTGTATATAGCAGGCATAAATGTAGTGTATGGTCTTCTGAAAAGTTTATGTAGACTGAAGATGGAGATATTATGAGGAAGTTAAGAAACCCAAAACTTCTGGAGGTGGGAGGGGCAGAATAGAAGTAGTGAATACTCATTAAATGCATGTCTTTTTATGTTTCGGTGTATTCAATGACTGTGACTGAAATAAAATGAGGAAGTCTAAGACTATGGTCTGACAAACACCGTAAGACAGTATAAACTGGTGTTGCAGCTGAGAAAAGCATTCTCATTTTTCTCCCTTCCTCTTGTCCCAACTTTGGACACAGATATTGGCAAAATTCTTCTGAAAAAGACTGGTATCATCATTTATGGTTAGAAATGTATTTATCTAAATAATGTTCTCCATTTACTTGAGACTCATTGATGGCATTTTGCTCTGCTGATACTTGTTTAAGAGAAACTTAAGAGGATTCAGGGAAGCAAAGGGAAGAAGGTTGTACATATAGCTTGTGAGCAACTTTTTTGAAAAGGTCTTTTATTGATGTAAGTAAATCAGTTACCAGATTGTAAAGCCTCTGTCAGCAGTGCCTTTCATCTACCTTACAGGCAGATTTGCAACACTGTGACACACCTTCATTTTTTGTTCCAGCACAATTAAAGTGTCCTCTGGGAAATTTTAAAAAGAGCTTTTTGTTAAAATATTGGTGGTTCAGAATGGATATCCATCATAATTTATAGCTTTATACAACACAGAAATAGCTCACTTCAAGCAATGAAGGCTCTGATGAAGTAATCTTAAAAAAGTTTGTACTTCCCCATTTTAATTTTTGAGGGTTTACTTAGTGATAATTGTCTTAATAAGCACAAGACTGGGATGGAATGGAAAATGAATTGCTGTGTTATGGATGTGGCTCCAGGCAATATTATGCATGTGAATGCTAGAATCAAACCAGTGAAGCACAGATCTGCTCCATCACAGATATCTAAGTTCACATTTGCTTAAGACTGTGTCCAGGTTTTTATTGTTTATTTTGCAGTTTGGTGATTTAAATGCTGTGTCCCCTGGAAACATGGACAAAGGTAAGCATTTTAATCACTCCAGTGTATAATTCTGTATGGACCTAATATGTCTCTTTGAGCAAAATAAATCCTTAAGTTTTAAAAATACAGTAAAACAGAATTTAGAGCTGTATCATGCGCTAAAGTGCAGGTATATGTTATATGGATATGTTAGTATATTATATAGATACAATAAGCTATCTATGTAATATGCAGCATATAATAATGACTAGAATATTGTAGGTTTGTTTTAAATTAAGAATATATTTTAAATATGTTTATTATTGCCACAAGAAATACTCCAATTTTTATGCAGAATTTAGTTGTATCTGATAGGACAGAGGAGGGTAACAGCTGTGGGAAGAAAGACAGGAGCATGCTTGTGTATGTTTATCTGTACTCAATGCTTTGCTAAGTGAAGAAGTCAGAATTGCATGCAGGTAGTTGCCAGATAACTTGTCAGTGAAGAGGACAGAAAGAAATTAGTTCCTTATAACCTGTTCATGCCATATTTTGACATACATTCTTATACTGACTAGTTGAGTCATTTGGAGTCTTGACCCCAGCTCACTCAACTAGTGAGTATATGTCTGTATGTCAAATATATATGTCAAATGTATGTCAAAATCTGGGGTCAGGTCACCCCAAATCTCTTCACCTCAGCTTCTCAATCTATAACTAAGAGCAACAACTCTTTCGTGTTAGTGATGAGAGGCATTTTGAATATTCTTTGTCAGAGATTGTTTTTGAGACTGCAGTCGTTTTTTCCACATACAGTATCAACAGTGTGTAACTCAAGTGATCAAAGCTGAGAGTCTGTTTACCTATTTGAGATAATAATTTACTTTTTCCTTTAAAATTTTAAATTTTCAGTTTGTGCTTTATCAGATTGCTAGTCTTGCCTGTATTTTTGTATTTCAACCATTGTTTGCAAAATAAAGGCCCTTGTATTAGAATTCTTTCCTTCATGCTAGTTTCATGGTGGTTTTTTTGTGCAGATGAGGGCAGTGAAGTTGAAAGTGAAATAGATGAAGAGCTGGATGAAAACGGAGAGCCACAAGCCAAGAGGGAGAAAACAGAGCTAAACCAGGCGTTCCAGGTGGGCTGCATGCAGCCAGTGCTTGAAAGTGGAGTACAGCAGAACCTCCTGAACCCAATTCATAATGAGCACATTGTTGCAACTACTCAGACTATCAGACAATGCAGTGCTACTGGAAATACATATACTGCAGTCTAATATGAAACCTCCCCCTCCCGACACACACCCCATTACATTAGCCCTTTGGGTTTAATATGAAAAAAAATAAAGATAATAAGTCCAAACGTTGACTGTTGTCAAATTTTAGCTGTGCTGAACATTATTTTATTGGAGTTGTTAAATGGAATGGGTGTATGTATTTTGCCAGATCTGTTTAAAAAAAGAGAGATTTTTTTGTAAACAGAATCATTTTACATTGGCCGTTCAATATGAAGAGTTTTCTTAGTATCAAATGCAAGGAAGATTTTTGCAAAGCTTAATGTTAATGTTTTTGTCCTCTTATAATAATTTAAATTTTTTCATAGTTTTTTAAAAATATTTTAATGTTAATTATTAGTTATGATGATTTCATATAGATAGGTTTTTAATTAGATGCACTTCTGTGAAATATCAAAAGAACTATTTTCTTTGATTTACACTGGAGGCATACTTATTTGACAGCAGGTGTATCAAATTTGCTATAAAAGGTGCTTTTCATTGGACAACGAGAAGACACTATTTTGATAAAATTGTGAGCATTCAGGGGGAATTTTTGTAATAATGCTGGAGGGTTGGGAAGATCTCCTAGTTTCTTTCTGTGAGCAAGAAGCAAGTTTAAATGACAGAATTGTAACAGAATGTGGTAATGTGTACGTCACAAACGTACCTAATTATCTGACCATCATGTAAACAATGCAAACTTCCTTTGAAATCAACAGTTCCAGATATTATTTGCATACCAGTTCCTCTGTTTTGAAGACTACTGATTCTATATGTGGGTCCACTGAACAGGTGCTTTTTGGCTGTTGAGTGGTACTGTAGTTGTTAGAAACTGAAGCTAAAAAAAAAGTGACTTGATTATTATTATTATTATTAATTTTAAGTGTACGTGCTACTTATGCTGAACTGGACATACAGGAAAACATTCCATTTGGATGACTTTCTTCTATTCCAGGTCTTTTCCTACTAGTGGTTCAATCTGCTGCTCTTAGAAAAGATGATTTATAGAATGCAAGGAATGTAGCAACCTGCATCATTTTCCTTTCAAAAATATTTCCTTGTTGTTAAAGTGGATTTAAATTTTTACAAAAATTAGATAAGGCAGTGTAACTGGCACACCTCACTTGTACTTATTCCCAATTGTGTAGAATTTGAACAGGTGGCTAGATGGACCATTGCCATTTAAGAATGTACATCAGGGATCATTGTACCTCGGCTATTACATGGTGCCTTAAACAGAACTGAAGCTAAGACTTAGTACTTTTTGTTATTCTTAACTCTTAAATTAATTCAACAAGGTGTGCCTGTCATTTTCAAATTCCCTAAGAAGTAAGGACAGGTTACATAGCCTTCAAAAGAGTAAAAGGATTTTTTTATTATTAAATGATTTTAATATCCCTCTTAGAATGACAATAAACCTATTTTTTCTCGTTTCTAACTGGATTTCACTTTATTACAAATAAAAGTTGCTTGGGAATTTGGAAAGCAAAACTAGCTTTAATACCAACTTCAAATGTCAAATGACCATAGTCCCAAGCATGATTCTATATTTTCTAAACCCTTGCCTACTTTTAATTTTAAAAATCAAAAAGAAATAAATGAGCAGGTACATAATGCAGTGCATGTTTTCAATTTCTATATTTTGTGGGGTATCAGCCAGATATTACATTTTAATGGTTAAATAATGACAGTTTATAGAGACCATATTAATTGACATTAAACAACTCAAATTTTTCTTCTTAAACATTTCATTATGCAGACACATGAATTTGCTACACTAAAATAGTGGAATTAAATAAGCAAAAAAGCCAAAAAGTGAAGGAGAGCACAAAAAGATCAACTTTACAGAAAAGACTGTGTAAGAAAATTAAGAATTCTTTTATTTCGGTTTATCTAGTGTGTCTGAAAATGACTTTAAAGTCCTGTATACCAAATGGGAGAAGAGCATGTAAAATGAACAGAGTATTTATAGCAAACAAGCTTGTTGCTAGAGTTTACATATGCTCCAAATACAGCTGCACATCAACTAAAATGTCCTAACATTATTGGTGTACAAAATTAAATTTCAGTTGCTTTGCAGAATTGGGAGGTGAACCCATCCTGCTCATTCTATGTAGGCATAATTCCTACTAATGTCAGTAGATGGCTTTTGCCTCAGTAAAAAGTGAAAGTGAGGTTTATATCCATTATTTCTAAACTCATAAATGCACTGAATCTCATTATAGATTTTGTTCTCACATATATCGCTCAGTGTGTCCTGATTTTTCCTTGGAAATCAGCACATCTGTACCCTTCACCAAAAATGCTAAAACTAAGCTGTGACAAATATTTACTCCCCTTCATTGTGCATTATAAGATGTTTACAAGTAAAATAAAGTGAAATAATTCAACATTTTTTTTTTCATTTTCAGCTTTTTTTAATACTGTAGTACTTGTTTCAATTTTTGTGTTGACGGACCTATAATGTTTTCTTATTATTGTCCTTTCTTGGTTTAATGTTGTATTTGTTGTTGCTGAGAAAAGAGTACGATTGTAATAGGTAAATCTAGATTGCTAAAAAAGGTGGGACCTGAGTATCTTTCATTATTTAGCTCCCCACTCCACTCAGTTGTTCACTGTTCACAAAGTGCAAAACAAAACTGAACAAAAATCTAAATACAAAAATAGAATGTATTTCATCGCTTCTAGAAACAATGAAGTTATCAAAAAAAATTGGAACTATCCCAGGTTCAGAAAACTGAATGGAGTCTGTATTCCTATGCTTAAATTCTGAAGATTTTACCAGATTTTTTTAGAATAACTATGTCACTGTAAGCTGCGTTGTGTACTTACAGGTTTGGGGGTCTTCTGTTTTGTTTTTTACATTTATTGAAATTTTAATCAAACAGATAAAACATTTTGCACACTCTTGCTATTTAATAGTTGGGTTTTAGTAATCATTAAACTACAGAGATACAAATACCTCAGTCCATATTCTATAATGTGTAGCATGCGGTTGCATTGCCACACCAGCTCTGAAGTCTATTGTTAGTGCTCTGGAGAGGTGTAGCATGTATCCACAGGGCAGACATTATGAGAGTTGACATGGTTTATGTGTTTTATCTAATCTTGACATGGAATCCAAAATAATTATTTTAGAGGCATTTCCCCCATTAGCACAAATAGCACAGTGAACAGTGTGGGGGAATGGGTGTTGTTGAACTACCTTTTCAAAACACAGGGCCCAATTTTCAAAAGTTTTATATTTATTAAAATTTGTTGGTGCATTTTCATCTTTTCATGATAAATCAGTTTTAAAGCTTTTTTTTTTTTCTATTTTCAATTATTATTTCTGTGTTTTGCTCTTGTACTGTAGCATGCTCTAAGCACCTTCTTTTGAAAAAAGTTCCAGAAAAATTTGGAAAACAGATTTTAAATTATTTAACTATAAAATGATGATTTACAGCATTACTGCCTTTAGTTCAAAAATAAGAAAACAGATAATGTTCTGTCATTCAGGAATGTATAGGTCTATATACAAATTTAATTTAAAGAGAGGTATTTTTAAATATCTAAATTACTTCTTTTGTTCACCTTGTTTTCCCTAGGAGAAATGATCTGATATATTTGTCATTCTCACCAACTGACATCTGCACTGTTTAGAAAATATGTTTAAATATTAGAGATGCACTGCAATCCAATGTAATTCAGAATGTTTTTACAAAATAAAAACAACCATTGATAGCCATAAAAGTGCTGATGAAAAATAGATTTATTAGAAATATAAGTATACAACAGTAATTTCAGAGTTTAAAACATTTGAGAGCGCAGTATGAATTTCTGAAAATTGGGCCCTTGTTGCTCTAACAGGACATCCTCTTTGTGTATGGTTTAAAACAAATCAATAAATGGAATTCTAGTATCTCTGCTAATTTGTTTGGTGATTTAAGACAAACAAACAATAAAAACTGGAATAGAAGCATAAACACACAGTGCTTAGTTCTAGTATTAGAAAATTAATTTGATATAATGGCTTGCATTAACCCTTTGAGCATTGTAAGTAACATGATGGGAACAAAGCGTTTTAGATAATTTAATTAGTCCATTGAGCATATACGTTGAAATAGCTGACAGTGTTGTAGAATTTTTTTTAATTATGTCTATAGTAAATACTTGCATACTATACAGGAATGGTTTTGTTATAGGAGGCTCAATAGATGTAGGCAAAATGTTCACTGCCATTGATGTGTACTGGCTAATAGAAAACAGTACTTCAGCTCTCTTGTTTTCATAATTGCATAAATATATAAAGAAAATCAAACATATGTTTCTACAGATAGGAAGTTGTCTACTTTAAGATGCCTTTAGAAGAGAAAGGCTTAGAAAATATATTCAGACTATTTTGAAAATCTCCTGAGGTAGGTTAGTATTGGAATACTCTGGTACTGTAAGCTTTAGGATTAAAAGAAGGCTTAGTGAAGAAGGATACATTTTGAAGAATATTTGGTATGTTTGCATTGAAATTTTTGGCAGTGTTTTTGATAAATGAACAAAAAGTGCACGTGAGTGATACTCCTTTTAAAACTCAGTCACTGCAATAATGATTAGCTTAAAAGATGAAGGTATTTTATTCATCTTCATCTACGGGGTATAGTTTGGGTGGCCCTTATTGAATGTCAGAATTTTAAAGCAACCTAGAAATTGCACAAGCCTTTTGCCATTTTAAAAAGCCCCTTTGTTCTTACAAATACTGCTTACAAGAACAAGGGAACAAGTGTAGTAGCAAGCAGAGAGTCTTTGAACTTACAGATGGATATGCCACCTTACTAAGTGAGAGTACAATACATTTTCTACTGGTTTCTTGCAATATCAATCAGTCAGCAAACACTAAGTGCAGTTGTACTTATGTAAGTCTAGCTGAGGGCAAAAAACAAAGGGTCTCATTTTAAGTTATTTAATGGAATTCTGTCAGTAGTATAGTGCAAGTAAGCTGTAAACATTTTTAGTCAGTTAATGCAAATTCATGCATAATTAATTATCGTAAATGCAATACTCAAAGGGTTTTAATTTAACAACTT